ACAAATGTCAAAAATACAAGAAATTAGTTAGCTTCAATTATTTTTAAACACATTATTACAAGTTAAACATTTGTCTTTTATAGTTGTTTAATTTTTGATAAAATAATATGTTAATTGCAGAAACACATCAAGTGAACAGTGCTTGACGGCTCTGTGTATTAAACTGCAGATGGGAGGGTTCATTGAAAATGTCTGCAAAATCTATTTTATGTTGCTTATAAAAATAGGATTGAAGTTCATGAATTAATGAAATAGCAAATTTGGCCACCTTATAGACATTATTACTTTGATAGACAGACTTCTATGGAGAAAAAGACGATTGGAACTTTTTATTAGGTTTTTGTTGAAGATACATTTTTCATAAAGTTATAAGGATATAAAATTGAAATTAAAAATATAAATTCGATCATTTTTGCAAATAAAAGCTTTTAGGATTTTTTAATGCAGTAACCGTTTTCATCACAATGTTTAGAGATTAAAATTTTAACCTAATACTTTTTCAACTTCCCATGGCGGCTAAAAATAACGTTTTTTTTAATATATCAAAATTTTCCACTTCATAGACAATTAAGTTTTGTATTCGTCATAATTCCAAAAATAAATTTTATGACCACCTTTAAGTGATACATGAAAGATATTTTAACTTTGAGCGAATAAAACTTTTTTATATTACTCTAATACAAAAAATTATATTGTAAATAGATTTATAATACACGATATTAATTATTATTTACAATTCAAAATACATATTACTGTTTAAAAGGTCATTGACTTTACTATTATAAAATGAAAAACATCATACGATTTGAATATAAATTATCTAAAGAAAATAACAGCCAAATGAGTAAATAATTCAATAAGAATAATAAATTATGTAAACAAGTAACAAAAAGTTGAAATGAAGTACAAGATATTATTATTTTATAATTTTTATTCTTTAATTCTCTTTAATATCCAAACAGTGTTGATAAAATCTAGAGAATTATCTAGATAAAAATAATATTATCTTTTATCATGTTAGATGACTTTATAAATATCTATATAAACGTCATCCAAAATAGGATTTTTGTTATCTAGATAACGAAATTACTTATTTTATTTATCTACGAATAATAAAATGTTTAACAGTACTAAAAAACCTATACGTGTTTAATTATAATTTTAATAGTATGTTTTAATTTTTTTATATTATCAAACTCTTGTAAAGGTCCTACAAATGGTGTATTTTTATGAAAACACTGAACAATAACATTGACATTACATCAATACGAATTTAACTAAAATTATCTAAGTTTAAACAATTAAGTACAAACCGGTCCAGCGTAATAGAATCGTAAAACGTTTATATCGGAACGTTTTGATTTATTTTAATAAGCCACGGTAAATATCAAAACTGATTATTGACTATTCAAAATTTGATTTAATTCATTCCCTAATTACCATTTGAAAAAAATTATAGATCCCATTTAATTTAAATTTTAATGAATAAATTTTACCCCCAAAAATAATTTTTTCATTTATTATGATTTATAAAAATTAATCAAATTTCTTTCTCTAGATTATTAAACAAAATCATAACTTAATGAAATAATGGGGATAGTATTTATAATAAAGCACACTGTATATAAAAAAAAATAATAATATCCATATAATTTTAATAAAAAAATATGTATCATTTGTTAGAGTGTGGTATTGCACATTGATCACACTAGTTGATGACAAAACTCTAGTGTTAAGCAGCGCCTACTGCCGTAGGTGAACAGATGGGTGACCATAGGTGCCACTTTTACGATAGTGAAAACCACTATACTTAAATATTTCATTTAACATTTCTGGATATACCAATCTAATTAATGTTAATCAACCTAACTGTTTAAAAAAAAAAGAAAATCATTTGTTAATATTCCTAATTTTTTTGGTAAAGATTTAAAATGCTTTAGTAATTGGGATGGACATTTTTTTCTATATTATCGACAACAAAATAGAATTTCGTTATAATGAATGAAAGAAATGGAAAACATTAAGAAAGTTATTAATAAATGAAAAAGAAAAATTAATATGCATTTTATCTCTTATGATGAATTTTAATCGAATATCTATATCTAATCTATATAAATATTTAGTTATCTAATCCCAACCTGCACTCAAATCTAACTTCTTTTAGTTAATAATAAGTAGTTTCAACTAATTAAAATAAATAGTTTATAATTTATAATACATATATTAATTATTAGATTAAACAGTTTTAAATAGAAGCCTAAAATTCAAGCACAGTTAGAAAAAAACTTATTAATTTGAAAGCTAAGTTTAGAAACTAGCGTATGATATAATTGCACTGGCAGATTAGAAATTGATACATTAAAATGTTAATATTATTATGTATTATATTAAAATACATCATGTAGACAGTGTGAAAAAACTTATCAATGATTTAATGCGATTTTAAAGTATCGAAGGATTTCTTAAAGCTTTTTACATAATATACCAGACTTCTATTTAATTTAGTTTTTAATAACATTTTTTCTATTTTAAAAATTTTTAAATTAAAACTCATCTCGACATCTAATATGAGTATATCTAATTTAAAATTAGTTATGACTAATAAAACATAGTGTCTTAGATACTGTATTATAAGTATGAACGTAATGTATTTTTATTCATTATCAACAACAGTTATTTCACCATATGCGATTTTTTATTGAAATTATAAATTTTATACATAGCCATGAAATAAAGACGATATTAACATATTTATCATGCTAGCTTAATAAATACTAACTAATATTAAAAATTTTAAATGGATAAAACTGAAAAAAAAATTATCTATTTATATTTATTATATTAGTGCAATATCGCCTTTTTAATATATATTAAATTTTATGTATATATGCATAAAACTTCCTTTAAGAATTTTATTTTAATAATAACTTATTCTTTTTTTACATCTTTTTACGTGCCCCCATACATATTAAGTATTGGGAATCTCATCTAAAAATTTGTACGTATAATTGCGTATAGAATGAAAGAGAAATATTAAGCGAAATTTTGATAAAAATTGAGTTGTATAGATTGTATACAAAAATATACAATTATTTTTATAATAAATTTGTTTATCGTTAAAAAGACAATGCTTAAGTATGTTAAACTCTAGAGAGTGTGATTTTTAATTCTGTCACTTTCTTACATTCTCACTACTCATAGGCTATGAAAGCCAATAAACGAAAGCAAAATTTACATTGCGTGAAAATTGACGTGATTTTATAAAAATATACGTGATATGCAAAGGAACAACGACCTCCAAAAAACATTTAATACGTAGTAGGACAACTTTAAATATCATGTATCACAATAACAAACATGGAATAAGAGTCTTATATGATATTATGTTTTGCAAGTGTTCGTGTTCATTATTCCACAGCGATTACGCGTATAAAACGTGTAACGTATTTACACGACCTATGCCAACTCAGTGGACTTGACGGTAGGTCGATAAAAAACGCGTTTTAATAACCACATGTTATACAGCGTGAACTGAGTTTGATATTATACTGTTATGTAAATCGAATTTTTTTTCGTTGTTCATTTAAAACTACCAAAATGTATGGTCTGGCGATGAAGGTCATTCATTTTATTATATACTCTTTCAATATATATATTCTTAAAAACTAAGAGGAGAAAAGTGTCCTTGAAATTAAACAAAGCAGTCGTATCGCGCTTGAATACGACAAATAATTATTACCATTATTTTTTTACACCCATCAGACTAGCTGGTTTCCCACATACGAATTGTAGTAGGGTGACTACATAGGTAGGGTGAATGTATTTTAACTCAATAAAATGATCATTTTATTTCTAATTCAACGTACACTAGTGGTGATCTAAAAATGTTGTAATAATAGAATGGCAAAGATTAACTTTTTAGTTAAAATTCCACTCAAATTATAATGTATACGTTTATAAAAAATGTGAACTATGGTCAATATAAAATTTATAGACCAAAAATAAAAAATTAACACCCATGATTAATGTAATTCCTCTTCATTTATTTCGTTCTCATTCAATGACATTACTTTGCACTCGACTTGATTTGAAAAAAAGATAGTCAATTTTATAAAAGTATGCTTTAGTTTTATAAATGTTTATTAATACAGAGACATACATTACTTAGCATAAGTCGATCGTTAGAGTCTGTTATTTGGTTTGTTTAATGAATGGACATAATTTATACATATTAAAAAATAATATCGAAAAATGGAGTGAGTCAAAATAGTAATTTTAAAATTTCAAAAAAAAAAATACTACTATAACAAATTATAAAAATGTACGATGATTATCAATCCAAATAAAATAGATTCAATGCTGATTTCGACTTCCATACTACGTAGTTGCTTTTAGTTGGCCGATCAGTTATGTTAAGTCAACGACCTGTAGTACTTTTGGCGGTCGATTTGAACACAAAAGTTTTGATGGTAGCACACAATGTTGTGGAGTAACAAAAACAATTTTTTAAAAACGTGACCAAAATATTATCGTTTTCTAGTGTACATTCACAGCTTTAGATTTAATTAGTTTTTAATTTAATTATGATATACATATATATATATATATATCACTATCATTCATTCATATTGTTAATAGTATGATTACGAATCAACCGAGAGTTCATTGTTCCGAGATACGACGACGACGACCAAGGGGCGGAGGCAGCTTGCCTGTATATGCTTATCGACAACAGAAGTGTAATTTAAGATGATGAGGAGAGGAGACTTTACATGTATGCTTTTGTATATAAAAGTTGAGAGGCACGACAAAGGGCAGAGGTGGTCGACCAGACTCAGACTGCGTGCGTAAAATATTGTTGCGCGCAACAGAGTAGGGACAATTCGGTGGCGGCGATGACGGCGTTGTTCAACGCATGCGCGGCTCACGCATTCTATAGTCTGGCCTTAACGCGGTGCCGATTGAGGCAGGTCAGTGTCAATGCACTTTAATGACGTTAGCATACAGCTCATCCTTCGCAGTACCGACAGTCAGAACACTGCAAAACGACCGCTGAGCAGCTTCTATTTATTTTTTACTTTTTTAAAAAATATTTTTGAATCATACGCCAAATTTAATTTAAAGAAAATGTTTTTAATAATTTAAGAAAATATAACAATTTATTTAAAAGTTCTTTACCATGTTCTTATAGTGTAAACAAGGATAATTTCACCAAACTGTTGAAAAGGTAAGAAAAATAACAAAATTTAATAACGCGAAACCATTAAAAATTTTATTTTTATCACAAATAATTTTCTTATAAAAAAAATTTAGAATAAGAATTAATTTTTTTATGTAACATTACATATAATTGTAACATCAAAATAACTTTTTACAGTTTATATGTTTTTATTTTTAAAGTAATTTTTTTTATTTTATAACATAAATTAAAATTGCTAAAATTTGTTTTTAGCGATCTTAAATGTTCGATAAATAACGTTTTTTGTTGTCTGAGGTTATGGCCGTGGGACGCCCGCCATTGGGGTACGGCCGCCAGCCAAGTTCGTTGCCCTAGGGTCGACCTCCCACCCGCGCATGGTGCGGCCCTGTGCAGGGTGAATGACATCTGCCGCCGCTGTTGCCGCTCAAATATAACTTATTAATTAAACCCTCAGTGTAGGAAATGACAATTATATATATATATATATATAAAAACTTATAATACTTAAATATATACAAATTTTTTGTCGCATTAAATGGATCGTGAAAAACCATGTTATAAAAATTGAACTTAGTAGTAACAGTAAACTTACAATAATCGATAACGAATAAACCAAAAATACAAAGGGAATTAGTTATATTGCAATTCATTGTACGTGTGCGAACAGAAGCTCATATTTACATATACCCGACAGTGACAATGGTGTCATTGAACGGACGCTGAGCAACCTTCATTGCCGACATTAGCCGGAGATGACGCCTTCGCCGCCGTCATTTGCTATAATATATAATAATAATAATTTTGTATGATTCTATCATACGTTCGTTGCATTTATAAATATTCAAACTATACATGTCACACACACGGTTATGATTATCTGTCTACATAACGTGCACTCGAGTAAATAACCTTCAAAAATATAACTATAAAGAAATAGTACTACCTATATTAATTCAAATTGCCAAATAACAAGTATTAAATATTAACAATTAATAGTAATGTCCATAAGTGTACAAAAATAATTTATATTTTATGTATAAACATTTAATTTCATTCTCTTGCTGTCATATATCATGATATTTTACTTGTTTAATTTATAATACATTGTTGATTTTTATGTTTAAGGCATTTGTTTGTTTTTTGTTCAGTATCAATAATTAATAAATTTATTGAATAATTGCCATAGGAATGACAATTTAAATTGTAAGTGGCGCTACCATTGTTCAAACTATCAAAGCTCAACGTACAAAATGTTTTCCTAGGTCAGTAACTGACGACGACCAATAGGATATAATATAAATTTATTACTATAAAGACGGGCGCGCGCATAAAATTACATAGGTATATTGTTACAACCAGTCTAGCTTATTTTGGACCTTCATCAGTATAATTAAAGCTAAAAAACTGTACAACGTTTCTATAAATATATATATATATATAATTATCTCAAATATTCAAAATATAAATAAATAAATAAAAAAAAATTACAATGATAAAATAAAAAATTCCTGTGAACATATAAATGTTTACATTCAGAATCTAAAAATAGTTTAGCTTTATTTAATTTAGAAATTCCTGAAAATTTAATTTTTTTATAAAAGTTTAACTAACTTTCTTTCTTTTTTGTTATCATTAAGAGTAATCAAATTATCAATTTATAATGAAGCATACATTTATTTTTTGAGACAAAATCAAACAAAAAGTTACCCAAGTAGAATCAAATTTAATAAGATGAATAATAAGGATCTCATATCGTTTCAAGACTCAGAATACAAAATAAAATTCTGGAGATCTGATTAATTAGTTCCGCAATCAAATATATCATGTTTTGTTTTTTTGAGACAACATTGAGTTTTATCAACATACGATTCAGTAGAATCTATTTCATAACATAAATATTAGTCAATAACTAAACCCAATTATCCATAATTAATAAATATAAACAATACTATTATGATCAAAGGTTGTTGACAGGGTTCACTGAAATATCAGCCAAGACAACGGGGGGTTTATAAATTAATAGACCAAAGTCTGACAATAAGCATTAATTGTAACGCATATATTCGTGTAATGCAATATTTATTAATCTATAAAAAAAACTTTCTATTTCTAACAATTGTCAACATTAATAATTTATATCAATTTTTTATCGTATAACTTTCTAAGAATTAAAAAAAATTTTTATTATTTTTCATAAAGTTCATAATTTATTAAAGCCATAAAAATTTGTTTTAATATTTGATAAAACCATTTAAACAAATTGTCATGAGTTTAGCTTAATAATAACTGAACGGAAACCTTCACATTTCAAAATTATTATTATTATGATTTTGAAATATTATAATAATTAAATTATTATTAAGTATTAAAGATGTTAACAAATGATTTCATAATCAAACACCATATAATTTTTTTATTATGTAATTATTAAAAAATAAATAAAATAATAAAAGATATCTTTATACTCAAAATTAACATCATTGAACATTGAACATTGTTCAAAACACAATTATTTAAGTAATAATTTTTTTGTTTAAATAGTTGTTTTCTATGAGGTTCAGCTATTGTATAAAGTAATAAGTTAATGGGTCTTCATTATTTCAAAACCGGATAATACAAGGGACCGACAATATTTTTTAAGTAAAAAGTGCAATATCTTTGTAAAAAAATAATATTTTTCTTGTAATTAAGTAAAATACAAGCAATACATTTTATAAATTTTAATCAATGAAAATTAAATACTTAGTGTAAATACCTTAGAATAATTATCAACATATCATATAATTTTTTTTACTACAACGACAGATAAATAACAACTACAGAGCAGAAAAATATTGAAACATCCCCCATTTGTTGACTGTTTCAGTATGAAAAATTATATCTGAGTTGTTACGACCCGTAGATCCGAACTTGTGTCGTAAAATTTAGCATCGCAAGTACGGTTCTAGAGGACACAGCCGCTCAGTGCGCACGCCCGTTTTGAATTCACTAAATTGTAAATTAATAATTCGCTCAACTCATTAATTTAATGAGAAAGAATTTTAAAATTTAATCCAACACAGATAATGGAGATATAATAAAATTCTGATAATTATATCAACAATAATCTATTATAGCAATTAATTGCAAACATATTTATTAAAACGGAAATCCGTGTATTAGGTTAATTAAAAATGTTAATGCCTTATTTACTAATTTAATTTCATTCTATGATTTTTATTTAAAAAACATAACTTCTATTAAAAAAAAGTTGATATAATACAACATTTGAAGTCAAATTACAATGTAGGTTAATAGAATATAATTTATACCATATTATATCAAGACACAACAAATACAATATAGCAAAAAATTTATTGTGATTTGTTTTATAGTTATAAATAACCATGAGCATAATTTAAACATTTTTAGGTTTTCTTTTGCCTGTTCTTCTTGTTTGGCAATGAATACTATTTTTCTTTACTTTGGAAGGAATTTTCACATTTGTTAGGTGGACAAATAATTCTACTCTATTCATGTCTATGTCAATAATGTATACAATCTATTTAAAATATAATTGAGTTCATTTACCTTTAGCACATTGCACCACACCAGATGTGCATAGATTTTATATAAATTTGCGCATATTTAATGTTTATTATTATCCTTGTTTCAATAAATAACATTATTTAAATTATCACGATAACATATCAGTACCACATTAATCCAAAACGAAAATTATTTTTATAATGAGATTAATAAGAGTAGTGGATTACTTATCAATATTGAATTATACGTTATATTTTTGAAATTCAACTTTAAATTAAATGTCAAAATTAAGTAAAATTATGATTGCTATTCTATTTTAATCTAATTTGAGAATAGTTTTAAAACAAAAATCGTGTCAGTAAACATAATTATCAAATTAAAAAAATAAATAACTCAATAAAATTTTTTAAATACATAGTTGACTTCTTAATGCGCGTGTCAGTTTTAAACAAAAAGTGTTTTTACCAATAAATTTTTTTTATCTAATATTTAAATTTAAAAAATAATTACATTAACCAAAGGAACATATCGGGAAAAATATAGCTGTTGAATACCCACATTAAACTTAAATCTCATACTTTGGCTGATTTGTTTAATGCATAATTGTAAAACACACTATTCTAGTAATAGAAATAGTACAGACTTAATAAAAAATGCATACAAAAACATTGAACAGCTGAACGAGGATTGGTTCTATACGTTTCTATTAATTTACCAATGACAACTATTTTACCAAAACGCTTAGTCAACCAACATTCATTTTAGATGAACCTAAATTACTGCTATACTAATCATTAAATATCATACATATCATACACAATATCTATGGTGAACATGTGTATATATATTCTTTAAAGACGTTACAAAAATAATTTTCATTTTAAACTTATGAATGTTAATAAAATAATCAAAGTACAAAGTAAATAAATTTCAATTTTCATTTTAAAAGTTTTAATTCTTTATTAAAATTAAAAACAATCTTATCTTAACATCACTTTTTGACAGTAACTAGAGACGTACTCAAATTTCATTTTAGGAGGATAATCATAAAAAAAAATTTTATTACTCTTTTAAAAAAGAAAATATATATCATTATCATATAACTATTTTCGTTGTAGGATGGGTTCTATCCCGTGGTCATATATATGCATAATGAAAATTGTAAAATTATAAATATTTAATTAAATATAGCAGAAGAATTTAATAAATATTATAATAACAAAAATATTTTTAAAAATGACGTAGAAAACGAATAACATATCAATTTATTAAAAATTTAAATTTTTGTTTAAAACGACTCACCTCTTTAAGAAACATAAGTAGTTTTTGTTGAATTTTAAATCATACTGTAATTAATTAACCCATTGAAAACCATTTTATTTAAAATAAAGAGAACTTAAAATTCTCATAATTTTAAACTTAATTAAATTAATTTAAATATAAAAAATTACATTAAAATGAATTTCAATAATTTGTACAATTTAAAATTGTTTTATACATAAAAAATAAAAATAAAAATTTGTTCTGTTGAATGTATGCATAATGCAGTGCTCGAATGCATTATGAATACACCATGCAGTTGGTATTACTAATAGCAACTGCCAGTGAAACAGTTACTCTATACCACATTTAAACCAATTACAATAAACAAGTTTCTGCATAAAAATTAAATTGCAGTGTTTTACAGCGGAAAAGTATTTAGCCTAGGATGCAGTGTGCGAATAAACGCAACCATGTCTATTATTATAATAGTTCGGCCGTAATGATCAACGATAGTTAAAAAAATAAATAATAGATGGCAGTGTACATAATATAATTTTTTTCCTTTCTTAATAGTTTTATTTTTAAAATGATTTTTGTTTATATTTCTGCATTACACGTAACTTATAAATTTATTACTAATAATTATTTTAAAAAAATTATTACAATTTTACACTTTCAATGCAATAGTCAATTTATTTTATTAATAAAATACGATAAACTTTGACGCAAAATCGTAATTACGAAATTTGTGAAATAATCAAAATAATAATTAAAGATTATTGATGGACTAATTTATTTGCTAACAACTGACAACATCAATTTACTAAAAAATTAATAATACTTGGATCAATTTGACCTAGTAGATGAACGCTATCTATTTGATATATTTACAACTAAGGAAATTTTCTATCAATACACTATTGACAAGCATGAAATGAACCCATGTCGGGCTACAAATTGTACTAAGCTTAAAATTGATAAAAAAATTTTAGATAACCTTCAAATACGATCACAATTATCGAATAAAAAGGAAATTTTTTTCAATAAAAATATTTAATTATTGACATTGAAATTTTTGGCTAACAATTTTGTTGCCTATTTGACTCGTCTTAAAAATTTATAATTTATACAAATTTTAATTCTTTAAGTCTTATTCTATGATCCGTATTTTAAAACCTGTGTGAAATAATAGCACTTTTTGTTCTATAATGAGTCTAATAGTTTTTAATTTATAATTTTCAGGACGTGAGTAAGGACAAATCAAAGAAAATACCCTAGCGTCAAACATCGTGCACAACTGTCTTTCAATTGCTAGCAGCTTGATACGCAGACAAGAGTGAGGTAGTTGGTTGTATAGTACCATATAATCAATTTGGAACGTACTATACAATCGGCTAACTTTTCTTCTGTCATGTTAATACAACTTCTTGAATGGCTGCAGTTCAATAATTTACTTTAGTCTAAGAACCTTGTTCAATGTAATAATTTATGAAAGGATTATGTTAACCATATAATAATGACACATAAATAAATTTATACACTTTATAATTTATTATTAATTAAGTATTATAACTTTTATGATTTAATAATCAATGGCGTAAATAAGGAATCATGGCTGCATTAGAACCCTTCTAAAATACGGAACTTTTTTTATTTTCTGATCACATTTTTTTTTACACTTCAGTCGAGTTAGAAATGGGCCTTCTATATTAACACTCTGGAGCCAAATTCGCATACTTTCGCCATTGATAATTATACGACTAATTTAATGTTTTAATTTAATTTTATTCAATTTACTTAATGCTAAATAAATTTCTAATTTCTTTAAAATTATAAAGAAAAAAAATCTGTAGAGTTTTAAAGTTAACAATTAGGTAATTATTATATGGCTAATTTGATTATTTTGTAATCATAAATATCTAAAAAATACGATAGTTTTTATAGGCTTTTTACATAACACTAAGACTTAATATACATGAAATTTAAATTTAATCATAGAGTTGATCACTAACATTAACACAAAATTTCTAAATGGTAGAACAATGATATTATTTCAAAACATTGTAATGAGCACAAAAAAATTACATTACTAATTTAAAAATAACTATCTCAATATAGTATTTTAAACTGAAGTTCACTATAAAATAATTGATTACATATTTATAGTTATAGGAATATACTTTAATTTCTAAAAACACATTTTGTATCAAAAAACACATCTTAAGTCTTGCATGAAATTTGAATAATGGATTTAATTATTCTGTAATAATGATTTCACCATGTTTAATCATGTTGATGATCATGAACACTAGTTGTTACTCTGTTGATTCTTTTTGTTCTTTTTATCTTATCATGAAACGCAAACGAAAAAATTTAAATTTGTGTCAGTTGCTAACGGAAAAGGTCGACACATATAACGAGGAATGTTGATTTCTTAATTTGTGACTGAAATATGTATAATATAGAAAATGTGATACTTTGAAATAAAAATACACATTACATTATTTTCTTATATTAAAGTTTAAATCAAGAATTAATCTTCACGTACAAATACATTTTGAAAAAAAACAATTATAATCTACTTTTTTCTTTAACATTACTATTTAAATAATAGTAATTAACCGAAATTTCATCACAAAATTTGTTAAAAAAAATAAAATAAATATATGATAAAAAAGTAACTTTATATTTTTCCTTTATAAAGCTCTAGATAAATAATTAATGTATGTTAAATTACATCAGGGTTTTCTACCTTTACTTTTTATTTACAATTCTCAATGTTAAAACATGTGGTGTGGGTATGTGCGAAACCCCCTGCAGAAATTTTATATTATAAGAACGTGTGAAATTGATACAAAATATATTTATATAAAATATTTTTAAAAATGCCGATGAATTATTTATTCTACTTAATTTCTCTTACTATTTATATTTTAATTTAGAATTTAAAATGAACATTAGACTTATTCATGCATGAATTTAATTTATTTACTTGTATAGAGGTAAACAACGCTATTTTATTTTTGTAAATGTTAGATGAATTAGTCACGTTATCACATAAATTGTATATTATTTTTAACTAAAACATCTACAATTCACTATTTTTTTTTAATCAGATTTAATCTCTTATTAATAACAAATACATTCAAAATAAAACCATATAAACTCCTCAGTCATATAATATATATATATTGGTTACATTAAAGTGTTCTTTTGTATATTAATATAGTAACAAATTATATGTTTTAGTGTTAAAGTAGAAAATCTGTTTTTATTTTTTAGATTATCTATAGTCTTTATGCAACATAACACAATTATAGAAATAGTCCACAAAATATTGAAAACTCTCAGAAGTGGAACCGGATTATATCAAATCATCAAAAAAAAATTAAAAGAAAAGCGTGTTAAATGAATTAAAAGAAAAATTTTGAAAATACTTCATCTAATTTTTAGCTGAGATATATATATATATAAAAGCTACATCTATTACATATATAAAATTTATATAATTTTTTTTTCAGTTATAAGAAACATTTATAAAACTCAATTAGTCTTGAGAGCAATCAATTTGATTCTAAGATAAACCCAGTGGATGGCGAAATTGTTAACATAGACTATGAGTTAGATATGATTTTAGGGTAGTGGAGTGAGAGGAGCAGTCGCCCTCCTGTGATTATCTCATAGTATTTGCTCATTTGAGTATTGGAGCCAATCTTTTGTTTTTTATTAT